CGACTGATTGATTTCGTCTACCTAAGATCAAATCACAACGTGGGTAGGTTAGACTAGAAGTCAAAGCAGTTACTTCGGTAACCAGACGTTGGAGGCGAGCTGGGAACGACAAAGCTGATACCGAATCTAACCAGATTCCCATCCGAATCAGCAAAGGGTTAGAACGTCACATTTGGTGCCGTGACAGCAGGATCACGTCACATTTGGTACCGCGACCAATACCAAGTCACACTGGTCGTCACTGGATAGCACAGGGTCAGAGAGGCCGGGGTGACGTCACAGTTCATGCATAAGGGGGATTAAGGATATACAAAACTGAAGTGGTGACAGGGAATCTTGAAAGATTCTACTTTGAATATTCAGGAGGCTGGATGTGACAGAGCTTCTTGTGGGATTTAGGTATAATGTGATTTTCCACATTCCCCTGCTTGTTTAAGGAAATTTACTATCACGGAGGAGACTTTATAGATTTTCAAAGTCTTAATGATCCAACAGTGTGCCACATTCTGTGGTGAGATTTCTACATCTATTCCTGTAATTTTCCAGGATCATTTCGTTTATCAGTAATTGATGTTTGCAACTATATGAACCTCTCCGGCATCACTTCTGTTCTAGTGGTAGAATGTTGTTTGCTTCGAGAAAAAAGTACGTACAGTTCGTCAGGACAGATGTGATAAAGTTATACGTGGTGGACAGACATGTTATTGGCCTAAAATTTTTCGGGTCATCTGTTTCACTCGTTTATTACATGACATCTATAATACATTCAGTGATCCATTCTGGAAGTTCTTGGGATTGTTAATAAGCAATGATAGAGTTTTTGCAAGAGTTTTATGGATTAATGATAGATGATAGAGCCAGAAATTAGGTACCTTGTTATTTCCTGAGGATTTCCATTTCTGAGATTTCGTTAGAGATTGCCTAGCATTATGTGTGATTATATTTCCCATTCTTGTAGAGTTTTATCCAACATTCGTTCTTCTCGTCGGGTCCATTCTGCATTGGGGTTATATTCCTTTGGGCAGCTCTAAATATTCCCCTAAAATTTCTGCAGTTTTTCTGTAGATGTCACGTATAACAGCTTTTCTAATTTCCCTGGAACATTTTTTAAGGTATTTGGAGTATCTTATTTTGGCGATAGAACCTACAACGTTTTACGTATCGTCTTGTTTTATGTGCCTTTAACTATAATCTCTGTTTCAGCATTTTGTTGATTGATAGAATTTCATTTAGTGATTTAATTTTATATCTCCACCTGATCTTCCCTCGTGGTGAGACATTTCGGTTTCTTGTTGTCTTATCTAATATCGATATATCACATCTGATTTCCTTAATTTCTCGCATCAATTTTGCCTTACAAGCTGGCTCTTTTTGTCTGCAGTTGCTGTTGTTATTATTATTATTGTTTAGTACAATCCTTTATCGGATTATTACTAGATACCTCGCGTAAAGCAATTAAAAATATGCATTCTGATATTAAGGGCTACTTAAAAGGAAGAGATTACATATTATTTCCATTGCTAATATTTTCCTGAATAGATGAGCAGTTCCACAAAGTGCTAATTTTTTATATTTCATCATTATTTTAAATCTTTCTTTTCTTATCATTTTCCATTGATGTTCCTTGTCCATTTTAAATTCATTATTAAGTTGGCGGTGTGCGTTTAATCTCTCACTAATATGTGGTCTTCGATATCAAATTTATCAGAAAACAGTTAAGAAACATGTTTCTATTCTGTAAGTATTTAATATATTTTAATTTATTTAATTATTTATATCTTAATTTATTTCCCCGTCATTTTAATTATATTTCAAACAGTTATTTTAACAGATCCTTCTAATTAGTAAATTCTTTATCTATTCTTATTCGTATTGATGTTTCGAAAGTTTTTTATAGAGTCTATATCTTCGAAGTTGACTTGCATATTTTTATATAGTTTTATTAATTCTTATATTTTATAACTGGTTAATTAGTAATTAATCTATTTTCTTAATCATTGGTATTAATTTGATTGTTAATTATTTTCAACTAGCAATTAAATTGTAAATATTCCATATTGTTGCAGAACGTATTAAATTATTCCACTTATCGATTGGTTTTGGCTGTCTACTTGTGTAAAGTTAAGAATAGAAATATATACTGCATTTAACGACAGGTCGCATGCGCCTTTTTGGTTGAATGAAATAAAAGACAAAATCACGCTGCTTAATTTATGTGAAAATAAGTGTTTTCTATTCAGCATAAAGATCATTTAAGGCACTGAAGATTGCGTTGAATGCACAAGACAATCGTCAGATGCTGATTGTAAACTAACTTTTGCAAAATTTAAATATTTATATCCATATTTCAGTCAGATATGTGCCATGCGTGATACACGCCAAGGCGAGCTTGTAATTTCGATACATGACTGACGAGCAGACTTTTTCCCGCAGCAGGTTACCATTTCTTTCTGCGGTAGACCAGTTGGGGTGGGGAGAAGAAGAAGATTCATACCTTTCCCAAGGATATTAGCACGTAAATGAATGTAATGGATTCGAATTAAATTCGAACTCCGATTTCTCAAACCGATTTCTCAATCCGAGCCGCTATCCATAAAAAAATAAATAAAATATATATATATGTATTGTAAACTGAAAATAACGTGTGGAGAATACTGTCATTATAACACAGTTATAATAACAATATTCTCCACACGTGACAATAACTGACGTTATTTTCAGTTAACAATATGAAAATAGCGTTCTCTACATTCGTCCAGTTGCTAAGAACATTCTGTTTTTTTGTTATTATTAGTAACGTTCTTTAATTAAATTCATTTCGTTTTTTGCTTTGAGAAAGTCCACATTGGACGAAACGCGTCAGCAATAACTACAGTTTTCCTATTGTCATTTTTTATATATATATATATATATATATATATATATATATATATATATATATATACTTGACTTCCGAAATCATTATCCAGAAGCAATGTGGTGTCTTGTTTGTGTGGTGGTTAGTATACTTTTGTCTTCATCCTGTTATTTCTGGAAGGTGGTCGTTCGAAATTATCTAGCGTGACGTCATGTGTAACGTATATTGAGAACAGGGACGAAAAAAAAATGCTATTTATTTTATTTTATTAATTTATTTATTAACATGACTTTTTTCTTATTATACTATGCGCGCACATTAATCATATATAAGAGAATGGCTTAGTTTTTATGTTTTTATAAATTTGTTAACAGATTTCTTAAACCGCCCTGTTGTTGGCGGTGACTGAAGAGACAGTTAAATAAAGAGAAATTAACAAAACGAGACAGAAAACAAAAATGATTTCCAGAAATATTCATG